GACTGTGTGTGTAAATGACTCTGCTTTTCTTCTAGGGAAGAGGTCCGATCTATCATTCTTGTTTTGGTTTTCAGTTAATGATTATGTGTAATTATATTCAAATAAAATATTTATAAATAATTACATATAATTAGTGGTATGTAAAACTTGAATTCATGAACGTCAGCTTTGATGAAAGGTACCCTTCAATTTGGGAGGTGTTAGTCTTAGTATTATTATTTGTTTCTGTTTAAAAGGCATTAGTGGCCAAGACTCTGCAATTCTCTCTTTTACAGGAGTTCTTTTAGGGCTCAGTTTTTGGCTTTTTTAAAATAATAGGTAGGATATTTATTTGTTAAGTCTCTAGGGAATATATTGCAGATCCACATCTGGTGAGTGCTCTGCGGAAAACAAATTCTATTTCCTTAAGTTTCAAGGACTGATTAGCTACCCTTGAATTCTCAAGGGTCTGCAGGGGTCATCCAGCCCAACTCTGAATAGGCTTTGCATTTAAAAAACAGGCAGGGGCTTCCCCAGTGATCCAGAGGTTCAGATTACATGCTTCCAAATGAAGGGGAGCAGGTTCGATTCCTGGTAGGGGAACTAAGATCCCACGTGCCGCGTGGCTTGGCCGAAAAAAAGAAACAGACCACCAGGCAGAAGACGTGTGTCATTGCCCTCTCCTCCCCGCTGCTGATGTGCTCAGGGTCTTCTGCATTTTGAGGTCTCCGCCTAATGGATTTTAAAGCATTAGAAACAGAAAGAGAAAAATTACCCTGAGCAAGTCCATAATTCAAATGTTGCCAACACCTCAGCTTCAGGTACACTTTACCATTCCTCTTGATCTGTTAGCCACACATGGAGCTGCAAACGGAAAGCTGTGTCAAAGCTGAAGGTCTGATTCTATGGGGAGCAAAGGCTGTGGAAGCAGCATCTCAGCTCATTCCTTGGTGGAGGAGAGCAGGAAACCAGAGGGAAAGGCAGGTAAGGAACGAGCAGGTGGAACTGTGTACAGTCGGAGTTTCTGGAAGGATTCCCAGATAAGGGATGGGGCCCGAGATCATTCAAACAACAAGGAGGAAGAAACCCAGAGGTTCTTTGCTCTGAGCTGACCCCAGTTCTAGAAGCACAAGGACCCAAGACACACTGATTGCTTTAGCTTAGAATTTTCAGACCTTTCGATTCCTGCCTCCTGCTAGGTCGGGATGCCAGGTCTATGTGAAGACCGTGTGAATGGTGTGGCAGATTTTCTCAGGGGCTCTCTCAGCCTGCTTTGGTTTAGATCATAATCATGATGATAGATTATGTATGTGCTGATATAGTGTATGGAAAATTAAAAATGCATGTTACAGGCTGACCTAAGTGCTCCCGTAGCTGGCTCCACATTTTTTTTTGTTTCACAAACTCTTCTGTAGTTAATGTTAAGACTCTAAGGATTTCACATCATGTGCTATAGATGCAGCATAAATTAGAGAAATCAACCAAAAACATACTAAGATGTCATGAGATTGTAGTTTTCCTGATTTAGCCTTTCATTCCCCCCCACCTTTTTTTTTTTTTTTTTGGTTGTAAGGGAAAATCATGCATCTATTAATCTTTTACCTGGAAACTTTAAAATGTGACAGATGTTGAGCTCATACAACACTGAGCTCTGGATCTTTTAAATATCACCATCTAGACTGATCCAGGATAAATCACTTCATCTCCTTAAATTTGGGTTTTCCTTTTGTTAAAGAAGCTGAACTTCCAGTCCTCCCATTCTATGACTGTATGATCACATCTCCATTGTGCCCAGGACTGTACAAAGATTTTTGAGGACTCACTTGAGGATTGTATTTTAACTATTCTTTCTCCTTTGCAATTGAAGTGTATTTGACTTACAGTTTTATATTGGTTTCATATATACAATGTAATGATTCAATGTTTCTATGCATTACAACATGATCATCACCATAAATCTAGTTACCATATGTCACCATACAGAGTTATTACAGTATTATTGACTGTATTTCCTATGCTGTACATTACATCCTTTTGTTTTGATTCATCTCATGACACATCCTAACATCTCTTATTTTGGATCTTCTCCCGAGGCCTCTGTGACACTGACTTCTCCCAACCCCTTCCTACCCCTGGCTGGGGTCAAGTTCGAAGTGGCTTACCAGCCTTGTCTCTTGGCTGCAGCTGCCTTCCACTAGTCTCTCTGCTTCCACTGTTGCCTCCCTACAATCTATTCATTACTCAGCACCAACATGATCTTTGGAAAAGGAAATCAGAACACATCTCTCTCCTGCCTCAGATCTTCCAATAGCTTCCTGACACCCTTGGAAATACAGATATATGTCTGCCTCAGGTCTTTTGCACTGGCTGTTTACTGGGAACACTCTCGTAGTCTTTATACAACTGGCCTTTTCATGTCCTAAAGAAAGGGCCATTTGCAAGCAAGTTGCAGCTTAAATATCCCTCCCGCAGGGAGGCCTTCCCTGACCCCTCCATCTAAAACAGCGTATCCTCTGCTTGATGTCAGAATGTCACATGATTTTGTGATTTATATAGCAGATTTCACCTGACATTATCATCTAACATATTTTTAATATTTTATTTATTATTTATCTGCTGCATTGGGTCTCAGTTACCTCATGTGAGGGCGCCCGCCTGCGGTATGTGGATTCTCCGGTTGTGGTGGTTGGGCCACAGTCGCAGTGCATGGGCTTCGTTGCCTCACGGCATGTGGGATCTTAGGTCCCCAAGCAGGAATCGAACCTACATCCTCTGAATTGCAAGGTGGATTCTTAACCACTGGGCCATCAGGGAAGTCCCTGTATGCTGATTTTATTTTGTCTTGTCTTACCCCTGTAGCATGCCTGCTTCGTGGATGGGGCACTTTGTTCCCTTGTTCTCTGTAGAGCAGAGTCTGGCATACACAGATTTGTAGGAGTGTTTGTAGAATAAGTAGATGAATGAATGGATGGTTGTCACAGGCAGGAAAACTACAGCGCAGGGAGGTTGTGGTCACATAGCCAATCACAAATGACAGTCAGACTCGGGTCGCCTCATGTGTTTCCTTCCTTTAGGTTCTGCTGCCTTACAAAAAGCCTAATTTAGAAATAATTCATTCACTATTTGTTTATTTATTCACCAGCGATTTATTGAGCTCTTATCATGATTCTGACACTATTCTACATCAGTTGTTCTCAACCAGGAGCAATTTTGACCTTCTGGGAACATTTCTCAATGTCTAGAGACGTTATTGGTTGTTACAAGTGGGGTGGGGTGCTACTGGCATCAGAGGACTGCTGGGGACAGAGACCAGGGAAGCTGCAAAGTGCAGGACAGCCCCCCAGAACAAAGAGCTAGCCGTCCCAAAGCGTCAGTCCTGCTGAGAGTGGGAACCTCTGTTCTAGATGAACAGACAGGGATACCGCTCTCGTGGAGCTGATAATGTTATGGGGGAAACAGATGACAAATAGTACATTTCATACACAAATGAAAATCCATGTCAAAAAGTGATGTGATCAAAAAGAAAGCCAAGTCAGAACAGGGTAACGAGGAGGCGGGTAGGTGCTGTGGGTGGTGACAAGGTAGGAATGGCTGTGATTTTAGCTTCTTGGGGAGATGAGTCAGGAAAGGAAATTTTGCCTCCAGAGGTTTAGCACTGTGACCTGGAATGAGCAGGCCTTGAGGTGCAGTCCAGGGCTCCAGCATATTGGCTGCTCCAGTTCAGAGGTCATCCACATGTAATAAAAATATAAAATGCTTGGGAACCAAGGGACATCTTAACCTCCAAATAAAAGCAGAGCAAACTGCCATAGGCTAGAAATAATTGTGGTTTTCTCTCCCTTTCAGGGGTGTTTAAATTCTCTTTCTCAGCACCTTTTTGCTCCATCATCACTGGTATAGAACAGCGTTAATTTGATGCATTTTTTTATTGCTCATTGTCAGCCTCTCACTTTACTTTTAGAGCACAAATAATGTAACTTCAGCTCCTCTCAAGATCATTGTGAGTCGCTTGATTGTACAGAGATTTCTGTTTATCTAGGTTGATTTGTAGGAACTTAACAGAAGCAAGTGTAGATTTTAGTATCTTGGGGAAGCTGCAGTAGTCGATGAAGTTAAAACATGGGTCAATGAAATGGTTCTTACTATATGTATTTAATGTATACGTGTATAAGTATGTGGGCTTTCCTGGTGGCTCAGTGGTAAAGAATCTGCCTGCCAGTGCAGGAGACGTGGGTTTGATCCCTGGATCAGGAAGATCCTCTGGAGAAGGAAATGGCAGCCCACTCCAGTGTTCTTGCCTGGGAAATCCCATGGACAGAGGAGCCTGCTGGGCTGCATTCCATGTGGTTGCAAAGAGTCAGACATGACTGAAGGGATTTAGCATGCACGCACACACACATATAAGTGCATACATTGGCATCTGTTTAAGATTTTGCTAAGAAAATGGTAATTTGGAAGGCATACACTTGTTTTCTTGGACTCTCCTGGCTTCTTCACCACAATTCTTTACCGAGCATTGGCACATAGTAGGAACTCAACAAATGTTTGCTAAATGAATAAACCAACTGTAAAAATCAGTTTTTTTGGTTTTTGGGATCGTTGAATTCTAAGTTATTTTTCCACATTTACACAGATTTATTTATGTTACTGAACCACAACTTAGTAAATATAGTAGCATATTCTTATGGCATTATCACTGTGACAGATTAATTTTCTATAAATCTATTTTTTTTTTAATTTTAAAATTGTTGCAAGGGATACAATTTGACTCATAGGGTTTCTGAATCTAGGAAAAATAAGACTCTTTGCAGTTAACGCTTTTTCCATATACCTTTAACCTAGGGAGGGATTATTAGGCAAGAGAATAATGTCAATAAATGTTGATTCAAATGCATTTACATTGACGGTGCTGAAGAAATTATGCACAGGACACCATTTTATTTTGGGTGCCCTTTTATTTTACAGAAGAACTTGCTGCCCAGTTCACTGGATGTGTGTCCATTAAACAAATTTTTTTGCAGTGCTATTTCTTCACGATTGAGTTTGGCCTTTGCAAACAAGAAGGGCAGCTGCGGGCATATGGCGCTGGACTGCTTTCCTCCATTGGAGAATTAAAGGTATGAAGCTGTGAGCAAAATATCCTTCCCGAGCAAACTGGTTCAAGGTCACAGAAAATATTGATTCGTCTGTCTGAGTCTCTCTACTCACAGATACCCCATAAATATTTAGTACAGAGGACTTGGCACCTCGTATGTGGGTGCTGACCTGACTTTTTACACTTCTGAAAATGGGTCATGCCTTTCTGGGTTTGTGGTGTGACTCAAATGGATGAGCAACCATGTGCCCGAATCAACAGGAATAACAAATGTATGCTCAGATGTTGGGTAACAAATGACTGGCCTAAATATGGTGCTGAAAAGTGTGCACTGAGCTAGCAGTGATCCCACTGATAGAAAATTTCTTTGTGAGGGTGGCTTGGCTACTCTCAATTCTGTCACCCCCATGGCTCCCATGGATTCCCTAGCATCTACTTTCCAAAGGGGATTTTGAACTTATTTTAGCTTCTTCACAATTGATGTAAATTAAAATGTTTATGGGCATGTACAATTAAAAAAAAAAACACTTAAATGTACATGTGGTCAGAGAGGTATCTAACATGGGCAGTGATGCCTAATGGATGGTATATATATATTTTTTTTTTTTTTGCCTTAAAATATAGTAGAATAATTTGTTCAGAAATGTTGAGGTCTGGGACATTCTGATCATTTAACTATTCTGGTTAATTAAGAAATTCTTATCTGTATACCACTGGGGGATAGGAAGTTTTGATGAATTTAGAATGCATTGTGTTATCTAATCTGGAAATGGTACTGAAAATAATTTAATCTTTCTTTGATTACTCAGACTGAGTTCAGGATTATGGACAGTCCTAGGGTTTTTATTTTGAATATTGATATTCATTATCCTGGAATGTGTATGTTTACTAGAGCTTTTCAGATGTTTGTACTTTTGAAAAATGTGATTTAGCTGTAGTTTTATTCAGTCCACTCACTTATGACTTCATTCAATTCTCAGATATTTGGTTGAGCACCTACTATGCACCGTGTACTTGTGCCAGGCATTGAGGATACAAAGACAGATAGTCATGATGAAGAATAAGAATATGAAAAAGATAACAGCTCTCTCAGAAGACACTTCAATAAACCTTAGAATTTAAGGTGAAACTTATTAACCCACTTAATTCTCCTAGCAACACAGTAGGATAAGTAACATTGTCATCACAGGTGAGGAACAGAGGGGTAAAGGTCAGCAAGGAGCGTATTGAAGATCCCACAGTTAGTGAGTGTCGGAGGTGGCCCCGAGTCCAGGCGGTGTGAGCTCCAGGATCTGAGCCCACCACCTGGGGCCCCTGCTACAAGCAGGTAATGTTCTAGTGCAGGAGACGAACAACCGAGGTAACACAGTGTGACGAATGCGCCTGTCACATTTTCGGCCATGCTTGGGAAGCCTCCCTGACGAGGGTGCTGCCGCCTATGCAGATTGTGGAGGACTAGGAAGGATGACTCGAGGAGTGGGAAGGATGACCCTGGAGGAGCGGGAAGGATGACCCCAGAGGAGTGGAAAGGATGACCCCCGAGGAGTGGGAAAGATGACTCTGGAGGAGTGGAAAGGATGACCCCCAGCAGTGGGAAGGATGATTCTGAAGGAGTGGGGAGGATGACTCCAGAGGAGTGGGAAGGATGACTCTGGAGGAGAGGGGAGGATGACTTCGGAGGAGAGGGGAGGATGACTTGGAGAAGTGGGAAAGGGAGGGGAGGTGCTGGATCAGCCCACAGACCGCGCCATGAATGTGCCCTCCACAGAGCCTGGCCTGTTATGGGAACTGTGAGGCCAGGCCTCTCTGGAACAGACGATAATATTAAACATAACAAAGGCTTGATATGATGTGGTGAAAAAAAACTTTTTTTCTAAGTTCTCAACAACAAAAACATCCATTTGGGGTTAATCTCAAAGTTCACAAGCCATAGCGTAATGTCATCTCCCTGTGTGACCCATGCCTTCTATAGACTCTGTCTTGATTTCCTAGAAAAAAGAATTAGTCAGAAAATGATGTAGCTCTTGAGTTACATCTATTTACATTCTTCTCAGAGGGCTTACAAATGACACCAGAAAAAAAAGGAAACAAATCTCTCATTGCCCCAACTTTTGTCAGGGGCCTCTGGTCTGGTTAACGAGGCATGTGTAGGCAGCACTCGGGTGAATCTGTTGTATTTGTTTCTGTCGGTATGGATCGAGTCATCTGGAAATGGAAATCAGCCAGAAACATGGACACTGAAGGGCATTGTCTGCTGTGAATCTTCTTGTTCTGGTCCATCAGCTCTGGTCATTAGCATTCTTCCATTCCCATATTTCAACACTCCAGCATCCCTATGATTGCTATTTGGACCATTTTTACTACTCAGAAATTCTTTCTCTCTGAAATGTCTTCTGACTGTTTGCAGAGAATACAGGACACAAGAGCTTTCCCTGGTGTCTTCTCTGCCCTACTCTTACCCCATCCCTGCTCACCTTGGCCTGAGTGTCTAGGGTCCTCTCCCAGCACTTGTGAATACATCTGTCCAACTTTTATTTGCATGGACAGATGATAGTTTTGAGCCCATGTGGGGACAACTTTATTAACAGCATTATAATAATTCCTGTACAAACTTGCCTATTAATGCAGTTTTGAATGTGGTTACCTTTTGTAGTAAAATCTGTTTTTGCTGTTCCAGTTATAGTCCATTCTGGGTAAGTTGTCAGAAGTTTTGGTGTAGTCCTTCTAACTTTTACATAACTCTCCACAATTCATCTTCTTTTCTTGAACTGGGCACATTTTAAAATGTGTGCTTTAAGAGGCTCGGTTTTCAGGAATAAATGTTGCACTTCAGAGTTGCCCAAGTACTTCCAAGCAGTGTCTCTATAGTTTGAAGGATACCTTTCATTTTTCCTTCGTATTTTTTGACAGTGCTTATTTTTAATCTTTGAAGATATAAAGGAAATAAATATGGAAGTGTTTATAAAAACTACCATACATCTGCTAACTATAAAGGATATCAAAAACATCTCAGCAGTGATTGCTCTCCCTCTCTTGTTCTAATCATTTTTTCTGTGATGTGCTTTTAGGAATTCCAGAAGTGTACTTGGGAAGGACCTTTCTAAACCTTCATCACTGTGGGGAGCAGTTGATAATGAGCTAGATAATCTGGAAAACTGACTTTACAAAAGGTTGAAAATGGGATAATTCTTGCTGTTCACTCACAGTCTAGCGTGTTTCTTTCCTTTTTCTGTTCTTTTTCTATCTCAGAGTTGACTTAACTGTATGACTGTCATTTAAAAAGTTTATTATTCACTCATTCCTTCACTTATTTTACTCAACAAGCTCAAAACTGAAAGTCTCAGTTTTCAAGAAAGTTTGTGTCTTTAGCGGGTAAAATCTAAGAAAGGGGTGAACATGGGTCTTTGCTGAATCCAGTCCTGGAGAAGCAACAGCGCAGTTTGTTCTTGTTAGGGGGTAAAGGACTGCTTGCTAGTTGATGAACTGACTGAATCTTATCTCAAAAAGTTTGCTGTCGTTAAGTCATGTCTGACTCTTTGAGACCCCGTGAACTGCACTGGGCCAGGCTTCCCTGTCCTTCACTATCCCCTGGGATTTGCTCAGAATCATGCCCATTGAGTCAGTGATGCCATCCAACCATCTTAATCCATCTCCAAAATGAAAGTTAATTTCTCCTTCCTTTTTGCAGGTAAGAGCATAAGTTCTTTGTTTCTTAAGGGCAGAGATGATACTTTTTTTTGGCAAATGGCATCTACCTCATAAGTGTTGCTGGAATATTACATACAAATACATTTTTTCTGCTTTTCAGGTTTTGACAAAGCTGGTGGTTTTTGAAAATTTAGTTATGATATTTTGGCTTTAGTTTTAGGATATCCTTGCATGGTGAATTTACATAGCTGTTCATCAGCATTCCCAGACAGCTTTATATTTACTACAATCATTTGTATTTACGGCCACTTGCAGCAACTCTGTGAGGTGATCAGAGGCTGGTCTTTACGGCCAGGCTGTGGAGGCGGCCTAGGGCCCCTGTGTGTTCCCGAGGTCTTCCAGTGTGTCGGCGGGGTGGCTGGAGCTAGGGCTCTGAGAGCCTCTGAGCTGCTCCGCCTGTACTGTATTCAGATGGCTCCCAGCTCCCTTCCTCCCACCCCTTCCTTTCGCGAAGCAGCACTGTTAGTAAGAACAGAGCAAAGATCAGACAATGGGTGCTGGAGAAGGGTCTTTGGCTTTTACACAGGGATTTCTTGCTGAGGGAGTTTGTCCCAATGCCCCCTCCTGCCCCCAGAAGCTTGTTCAAACTGCTGAAACTTTCAACATCACTGATGAAAAAGTGTGATACTCAGTTTGGCAGTAGGGATGTTGTGACCATGCTGTGCTGTTAGAAGGAAAAACATTTAAGGGGGGTTCAAAAAATACTATAGACATGCATACATACTTATTATATTATATGTTTGTTGTTCTGATGTAGGAAAAGATGATTGTAGTGTGAGTGTAAGGGTGTTTGTAAATTTTTATTTAGGATCTAGGGCCCAAACTACCTAGACTTCACACTTGAGTTTTTCCCCAACTTTAACCAGTCCTAATATAGAAGGTGAGGATCACAGGTTGACATCTAGAAGAGCTGAGATAATAACTCCATGTTATTGCAAAGGCAGGTGGCTGGGAGGAAGGAAGATTTTAAGCTGATAAGTTGCAGTCTAGGACCTGGCAGTCTCATAGCTAGGGCCATGCATCTTTCTTGATGGTTCCAGAAGAGTTGCCCCAGTGCAAGAAGGTGTGGCTCACTGCATATGTACACCAGGCATCACTGGGAGCCTGAAGCAGCCATGATAACCAAGTTTACAGAGTGCTTCCCACTTGCCCGACACTTCACATGCATTTTTTCGTTTAATCCTTACCACATTCCCGAGTTATAGACACTGGAACTATTCCCATTTTCCAGATGAACACTGGAATAGGCTTACAGAGGTGCAATAACTCTGAGAAATTTTTGATGCTGAAAAGAAATTTCTATTTAAAAGACTG